GGGAGAAGTGTTCCTTCTTTTTTCTGCTTTAAATGTTTGATATAATTTATCAGTTAAAATGTATATGACCCTGTTGTTGTCATATAGGTAGGTTTTCAAGCTAGGAATATACCTTCTTTAATAGATGCTATTCAAATTTTGTATTTCCTCCAGAATCAGTTTCATTAATTTGTCTTCCAAGCTACTTCCTAGAAGTTACCAAATTTATTTCAAAAAAGATTTTTGTAATATGCTTTCTATAGCCTTTTGAATTCTGCAAAATCTGTGGTATTGTCTCCTAGATCTTGATATTGTAATTTTAAAAATGTATACTTCATATTGTGTAATAGGAAGGGATGGTCTAAAGGAGTAGGGGAAGTGGGAGGGGTAGGGGAAAGGAAAGAAAGGAAAAGAAAAAATATGAGAAAAGGAAAAAAATGGAAACAAAGTCTTTGCAAATAGGGAAGGGTGGAGGAGGTAAAGGGAGGGCAGGGGAAGGGGAAAAAAATAAGAACCAAGATACATCATGTGATGGTACAAGATCCCAATGATGAATGTAACTATTTTATACCTAAAATGTACCAATAAACTTAATGGGGGAAAAAAGAGCCCATGGAAACATTCTAGAAAGGGCCTCTGGCCCATTCCAGTTGCAAAACCCAATGCTGTTTAGTAGCTCATCCTTCCCTGATTGCATGCAAGGTCTACTGTAGAAAATTTGTTCAGGAGGCCAAAGTCCTAGTGGCCAGGCTTCCAAGAGATCCACCAGCAGCCATGACAGAGTAGACAGGAAAAGACCAGGGGAAACAGCGCATCTTTGGATGATGTGCATTCTCAGATCTGGTCTCCAATGTGCTCCTCTTCCAAATGCATTTCTTCTCTTTCTTCTCCTCAGTGGAAATGAAACTGTCCTAGGCCTAGTTATTCTTCTTCTAGCTGCAGGATCTAAAAGTAATCGCCCATTCACCTGAAGCTCTTATCGATGCTGGTGGTAAGGTGAGAAGTCCTCCTTGTGTGGTGAGAGGGCTGAATGGCTGGCATTGTCTTTGGCCAAGTATTACTGGCATGAACTGGAGCTGGGCTATTGCCGACACCCTCAGTGGAAAGCTGCATCCCAGAGGATAGTCATCAAAGATTAGCAAGTCATTCCCTGTGTTCAAACTTGTTTTCAAAATATTCATTTATTGAACAGGTCACTGTCACCCCGTGAGGCTTTCTTCAAAGCATCCAAGAGCGTGCCATAATCAGGATGGTGAGGATAAAGACCCCCACAGTCATACGCACTGTAAAGACCTCAGCAGCCTACTGTCTTTCCTTTGTCATGGGAAAGAGGGATGCCACTGGTGACTGTAGAGAAAGGGGGGATTTTTTCTTTAGTATTAAATTCTGCAGTTTAATCACAAAGTACAACTTTATTATAACAAATTCAAATAACAAATGTTCATTAAAAGCTTCTATCCTCAGCAACACCTTTGTGGTATTTCTGCCCAAAATGGATAGCTTTAATCTAATGATGAGGAAACACCAAACAAACCCTAACTGAAGGCTGTTCCACAAAATAATTGACCTGTTCTGTTCAACAAACGTAGAGATTAAGGACACCAAAAGTTAGAGGGCTGTTCCAGATTAAAGGACACTGAAGAGCCATGACAACTTTGCAAAGTGAATATTCTCAGATCCTCTGCTGGACCAAAAAAAAAAAAAATTCCTGTAAAGGAATTCCTGAGAAATTTGATAAAATTAGAGTATGGGTTCTGTAATAACAGCTTTAATTTTTAATTTCCTGGTTTTAATATTTCACTATGATTATGTGAGAAAATGTCCCAGTTCTTACAAAATAAACCACTGACTTACTGCAGGACACAGTTATCTCCAACTCTCGTGGTTCTAAAAGAAAAAATGTGCAAAGGTGAACACATGTATCTGTAGAGAGAGAGACAACGCACATGGAGCAAAATGGAAAGAAAAGAAAGTCTGGGTAAATGGGTGTACAGGAGGTCCTTGGACTATTGGGACAACTTTTCTTTAAGTTCGAAAGAATATTTTAAAAACAAAGCCTCTTCAGTTCTTTGCCCAGGAGGACTATTTACACACCTGCAGAGTAGTGCGCACTGTCTGTAGCAGACAACTTCTAGAATAGTTCCAAGTGCCCCAGCCTCTGGTATTCCTACCTTGGGAAATCTCCTTTGTGAAATGAAGCCAGGGACTTGTTTCTAACAAGAAGAACACTGCAAAAACAATGGATGTCCTTTCAGAGATTAGTTAATAAAAGACTATGACTGGCCAGGCATGGTGGCTCCTGCCTGTAATCCCAGCTCTCCGGGAGGCTGAGGTGTCAAGGTCACAAGTTCAAGCCCACCTTGGGCAATTCTGCCACCCCTTGACTCAAAAAATGAAAAAGGGCTGGGGACGCAGGTCAGTATGAAAGCACTGGTTCAATGCCCAGTACCACATACACAAAAACCCTATGGTTTCCATCTGTTTCCCACTTTCTCTGTGTGGCTTCTCCTCTGTCCATGCTGCCAGAAGCCAGCTGCCATGTTGTAAGCCGCTCTCCATCATTATCACGAATCCCTGAAGTCATCCGCTTATAAATACCAAAGGCTTATTTTGGCTCACAGTTGTGGAGGATGCAGTCCAGGACAGACTGGCCCCGTGGCACTTGGGCCCATGGTAGGATGTTACAGCACCAGCACCTGGCAAAACCGCTCACCTCATGGCTGGGATGCAATAGAGAAAGGAAGGTGGCTGGAGCCCCACAATCCCCTTCGGGCCACTCTCCCAGAGGCGGGAGGACCTCGCACTAGGCTCCACCGCCTCCCAGTAGCACCAAACTTGACATCCAGCTCTTCCACGTGTGCCTTCAGAGGGCGCTCCAGAGCCAGGGAAGTGACAGCCTCCCTGGAGACAGCAGCAGACAAGACTTCAAATCCTGCCAACAGCCACAAGTGAGCTTCCCTGGGGCTGAGGGGCCAAGGCCTTGGCCAACACCTTGACGGCACCCTTGTGAGAAACTCCGACCCAGAGCGTCCAGGCAAACAACACCGAGAATCCTGACCCTCAGAAACTCTCGCATCATAAATATCTGGTGCCTCCTGTGTCCATTTTATTGTTCTGGGAATGGAACCCAAGGCCTCACCTCTAGGCCAGCTCCCACCACTGAGTCATAACCCACTATTGGTTGTTTTTAAGATGTTGTTTTAAAGAAATCTATTATAAAGTAGTAGATACTAACATATTCTCCAACTTTCTTTACGCCTTTTCTATTTGTCTTTCTCTTCTAGGGCGGCGAGGTGAACGGTATCATGAACAGGCTGCCATGTCCTCGTATAGAACACTGTCTCATTATTTTTAACATGTGGGGTTGTTAATATTGTGCAGATTGTGCCTGCAAAGGAACCCCAGGCAGAGGAGAATAGTGGGGGTTCAGTCTACCCTGTGTTCCTCTCTCCGAGTTGTGCTTCCTGCCATGTGTTTTACTCACTTAGAATCATGGATATCTTTGTCTAATTTACATAAAATGAGCCTCTGGGCCAATGCAATCCTGTTGACGGTTATATAATATTCCATGGTATGGATGTATTATAATTTACTTAACCTATCTTATCTTGCTGGCCATTGGTATTTCTTCCTGTGTTGTCACTGCAAATGACCCTGTAATGAGCAATGTCATTGTATATAGATCTTTATATTCCTATACAAACATTTCTGTAGGAAAGAGTTCAACATGAGATGAACCATATGTTGTGTTCATCTTTAATATTCATAGATCCTCGCCTTACTACAAGTTTTTTACTGGTTTATACTCCCAGCATGTACGAAGAAGTTGCTTGTTTCCTTATCCCCTCACCAACACTGGATGAAATCAATCTTTTAAATATTTGCCAATCTGATAAGTGAAAAATTTTGTCTCACAGCTTAATAGATCATTTGTAGCAAACCAAATATTTTTAACTTTCTGTTCTCTGAGTGAAGACAATTTCTTAATAATACTGAGTCAGTCTTTTCCTCAGATAGGCAGGCAAGGTTGAATAAATCTTTGAGCGATCAGAGAATCTGTCCCTAGCCAACCAGTGTACGTTCACTCAGTCCTATCTCTTGTGTGAAATGTGAGCAAGCGAGAAATACAATGCCAGGTGCGTGTAGTTACGTGTAAAGTTTCAGAAAGGTCTTCCAGCATTTGACTTTGTGATTACAGGCCTCAATAAAAAATTTTATGACTCTCCCAGATTTGCTTGTTTAGCCACCACCACCCTCTTTACAAATGGGATCACTTTCATTCAACTGTTTTGATGTAAGTTGCATGAGCAGAGCCAAATGCCAGTGAGAGTACCAAGGTTTAGGGTCTATTGTGTGGTAACTTTTGCTCTTTTACTAGACATATGTATTAGTCCAAATCCACTGCAGAGTGGACACCAAGGAGAGATCACAGGTAGAAGAATGTTGTTAAAGGAAAGGCCTATGCTAGAAAACAGTGAAGAAACCAGGAAAGGCTGGAAGAGCTGCCCAACGGTGATATAAGCCTGGCCCCTACCCAGGGAAGGAGAGGAGCATAGGGTGGGTGGAAGCCTCCTAGATTGCCATGCAGACCAAAGAAGATTCAGCAAGATCTTGGGGGATCCTCAAAATGGCCCATCCCAGCAGTCAGGTGTCTCATAGTGTTCAAGCTCCCTTGCTAGTCCTGCCACACTCATCATGGCTGGGAAGATGGGCCAACTTCAGGGAGTGTGGTGATGGAATTCAGAGCACAGCATCTGTGTTCTGTACACAAGAACATTCACTCCCTGGGGTCAGAGGCCCACTAGGCTCACTGTCAAGGCCACCACATTTTAAATGAGCTATCCTGAAGACAGGGTCTGGGCAGAATTATAAAAATAGCAAAGAGAGGACTTGCGCTTTGCTTTGAGTTTCTTGCTTCTATAATTTCCATGCAATTGCTTACCTTACTCCCAGATAATGAGAGGAAATTTCTTTCTGGTTAGTGACCGCATAAGTTTGTTGAGTCCAATGAGTAGAAGATGGTGACCAGTAAAATAGAGAAATGGCTGGATTTCTGTGCATAAGAAAACAAGAAATGATCAGGAATTTAGGCATGAAGAAAAAAGGGGAAGTCAGAGAGGAAAGAGAAACTTAGAACAACTGAGAAATCTTCAGAGCCAAGTAGCCAAGGGGAAATTTCTATTGGAAGGCTGGCTGATGGAAAATAAGAGTGTCTACTGTGCAGATCACGCCTTATTTCTCTGCAGAGCATCAGTCTCCAGGTATACAACTTCCCGATTGTCTATCTTATTTTTAAGTGCTAGATGGTTTTTTGGGGGGAGGAGGGGTGTTAAACACCAGTGCCTTTCTAAATTTTTGCCTCTCTTTCTACTTATGCTCCAGAAATACCATCTTTTGTTGAATTCTAAGGAGCGATCCAAATATTTTGGTTAATTTCAAGATTATTTGTATCAAATATTCTTTTAGCAGCTCATAAGAATTTGGACATGTCTCATGTTTTGCAAATACTGTCATAATTATTCAGTCTGTGTATGTACATGTTTGTGCTTGTCAAATCTCTGCCTTATCCTTTAGATTGTAAGCACTTTAGGAATATCCTTAAAGATATAAATATTTTCTATCATCCCTAATTTTCTCACAATGGGACCATAGTTTGATTGTGATCATGTTGTACAAATCCTGCAAATCTGAATACAAAAATATTTTATTCACATGCTAATCCAAATCCAATAGGCTTCCTGTTACCCATTTCTTCCATCAAATCTCTGCTGCATTTGTTGGGTACTGTTGATCGGTCACTGATCAGAATGGTCCCTTCTTCCTGGGTTCCAGTGGTGTTAACTTCTGGGCTCTCCTCCTAGCTGTTTGCTTTCTTATTCTCCCTGATGATCTTTGGATTTCTATCATCTCTTAATTTTGGATATCACACATTGATCTTTGTAAAGACTTCCATTTCAAATCTTCCATTATCACCTTTAGCCTAATATTCCTATTTATATCCCCAAATCTTTCAGCTTGTGGCCCTCCAACTTCCTCTAGGGTCTCTCTAAAACATTCTGCCATCATTGCTAATTCCATTCCTTCAATCCATTCTCGTGCTGATACTTACATGTTTCCATTCACCAACAGCACAGCCCTGTCTTCTATTCACTCAAAGGAAATTCTGGTATCTGAATTCTTGTTTGCTCCTTTTCCCACCTGTGACTGCTTTGCCAAATTTTATTTACCTTTTTTTGTGAAACAATATATCACCTGCCTGCTTAACCTCAAATTCTAGAGCTTACTGTGATTTCCTAGTCCTTTAGGATTGCAGTAAAAATTGACTTGAATCCTTTTTCACCATTTAGGAAGAAAGCTAGCCTATCTTCCAGTTTTTCCAGAATTTTCTGGGAATCATAAATTTCAGCTAGTCATTCTGGTCTGTATTTACTGCATCTAATGATTTTCCAACCATATTCATAGTTTATCTTATGCTTCACATTTTGAATAGCTCTGTTCACCAATATGGAATGTCCTTTACTTCTTTTGATCCCCTTTGCTTGAAGTCCACTGTCTGAAAATAGGATAGCTACTCCTTCTTGGTTTTAGGGTTCCCATTGCATAGAATTTTGTTTTCTATTCTTTGATTTTTAGTCTATGAATTTCATTTTGTGTTAAATGTGTTTCTTGTGTACAGCATACCATAGGATTTAGTTCACATTTTGTACTGTGTGTACCTCCAGATGCAAAGTGGCTATCTCCCCTCATTTTAACCCAAATACTTCCTACTGAACAAATTTCTACAGAGCAGACTTTATTGAAGATTTCTGTCATAATAACCAGGGGTTCATGTGATTGCCCTCAGGGCAGACAGCGAAACTAAACGCTCAACTCCATCTTTTAACAGTTAAGTACTTACTTATATTCATGTCACCAGGGACTGGTCACTAACTATTCCATCTGCGAGGGCTTCAGCTCCCTAATATTTCTGAGCACTCTCTCTCCCACTTAAATTCCTATGAGGTATGAGAGAAAAACTCAGTTATATTTAAGTTAAAAATAATTTATTATAGTAAAAGACACATTGCCATTAATCATCTTCAAAATACTCACCCTTGGCTTTCAACACCCTTATCCTATTGTTTTTGCCACTTTTTGAAGCAGCTCTGCAAGTCCTCTTTCATGAGTTTCTTTAGTTTCCCTGTAATGGCTACTTCAACGTACTGAATCCATTCAAAACCTTTACCTTTCATGGTCATTTGGCTTGGGGGAAGATCCAGGAGTTACACTGTGCCAGGTCCAGTAAATAAGGTAGATAATGATGCAGTGCAATGTTTTCATGAGCTTGCCTTTCCATTGGATGGTGCTTGGTAGCAGCATTCATTGTATTTTTGGTCATGCCTCATAAAGACACTCCTCACATGTGTGATTGGATATGTCTAACAACAAAGACCTCGTTGCCTTCTGAGGCTCCCCACTCTGGTGCTATATCACCCTCATCAAAATGTTTTCCCTTTCTGCATGTGAAGAATCTGGCTCCAAGCATCCTCACTGCTGGGCCCAGTTCTACCCGTTTGAGCCATCCAAAATAATGATTAGGCAACCATTCTTGTACCAGAGAAGTACTGTATTTAAAAATGACATTATCACACACACACACACACACACACACACACACACACACACACACACGCTGAGTCTTTTTTTTCTTTCCGGATTAAAAATGCCCTGTGTCTTCCAGAACACTTCGCTGGGCTTGGTCCCGAGGCCTTTCTCTGACCCACCCATCTTCTTTGAACATACTGTGCTTCATTCATTTCCTTTAAAATGTAGCATCTGGACGTGATCCATGTGTCTTCCAAATGCTATGCAGGAAAACAAGAAAACCACCTCCTTAATTTTAAACATGAGATACTTCTAATATCTCTCAAAACCACATTATTTTGTATTCATTCAGAATTTTTCTTGTATATTGAGCTGTGCTTTAGTTAGACTCTCTCTTTTTCACATATGCTATGGCTAAGCCTCGTGTAATTGCCATGTAGTAATAGCTTGATAAATGTTCACTGTCATTAAAAGAAATTATCCCTTTTTAACAATAAACTTGATAAGTATGCTCTCCATGGGATGATATAAACCATTGGCTTAAACCTTAAAAAGTTCAAACAGGATTATGGTGGAACATAGAGTTTAGGGATACCTCCTGAGTGATGTCAGTCCTGCACTTGAACTGCTTTGGCCGTGGACATGTTTCTAGCTCCTGACCTGCCCTGTTATCTTTAGGAAAACAAGCTTCCCTGTTTCCTTCAGCGCTGGGTATGATGAGATCACAAAAACGCAAGTATCACCCTGCTTCCATTTGCTTCTGCGGATGCTCCAAGTCCATCAGAACTGCTCCCCACCTTCTTTCCTCCCTCCTTACCTTGCCCTCTGCAAAAAGGTCTGGATATCCCTGGCAGTTTCTCATACTTACAAGTGTATATATTCCTTTAGTTACTTTATGTCATCTACCAGGCAATACTGCCAATTCCACTGAGTAAAACTGCTTTTGGTGAGTACAGTTACAATCATTTCTGGGTATAACACCAACTCTCTCTGCCAAGAACCACTGCCACCTTTTGTGTGCCATGATGGTTTTCCATAAAGCACTGTTCCTACTTTGGCCAACTAGAGTCTTCAATTTGCCAGAGTGGGCTATGGTGTCTTATAGATTTGGTGAGACCAATTTATTATCTTTTTGAGCTACAGATGATTGTGCCTTCCACCATGTTGGCATTGGGAGGAGCTAACCATGGACTGAATTCCCTGAAATGGTGAGCCAAGTTAATCCTTTCTTCCTTTAAATCGTGTGTGTCTGGTATCATCTCAGACATGGGAAAGCAACTAATATGGAAAGAAAGAGCAAATCCAACCCCTATGGAAATTCATATCTGACCCTGGGAAAGAAGTTCTATATATAAACTTAGGGTAGTACTGCTTGGGACTTGATATCTTCCTAAATATTGTTTGTGCTATGCTTTTAATGCTTCCCCTCAAAAACTCATGTATCTCAACATATTGGCCAACATGATGGTATAAGAAGCAGGGCTTTAAGAGGTGATTAGGCCATGAGAGCTCCTCAGGATGAATGAGATTAAAGTCTGCATGAAAGATACTTCCCAAAGTATGTGATTCTTTTGGCCCTCTCCTTTCCACCTTCCGCCATACTAGAGCACAGCGTTCCTGGATGATGCAGCAGTGAGGCACCATCTTGGAAACAGAGAGCAGCTCTTTTTAGACAACCAAATCAGCAAGCACCTTGATCATAGACTCTTAACCTCTAGAGCTATGGAAATAAATTTCTGTTCTTCATCAATTCCAGTCTCAGGTATTTTGTGATAGCAGCTGAAACAGACCAAGACAGTGATATTTCTTTCAATTTTTCTTTTTAGTATAGTATATAACTTCTCTATTGGGGCCAGATACAATGTCAGATTTGCTCTTTTTTCTCTATTAATTGCTTTCTCATGTCTGAGATACAATACCAGACATCTACAAAGTAAATGAGAGAAGGTTTAACCTGGCTCATCATTTCAGGGCATTCAGTCCATAGTCACCTCCTTCCAAGGCAGAAACATGGTGGAGGGTGTGGTGAGGTAAAGATATTGAGTTCATTGAGTTCATGGCTACCAGGAAGCAGAGCAGAGGAACAGTACCAGAGAGGAAGATGCCAGGGGCCCATATACAGTGCCAAGGTCTCACTGTGTCCTCAGCATGGTCATTTCCTTAAGACATGTGCCCTTGTTGTGTCTTTATGTGTCTAGATTTCCTCTTATAAGAACACAGGTGATGAGGATCAGTGGAATAGATTAGAAGATGCAGACACAACTCCAGACATACTCAGCTACCTCGTCTTCGACAAAGGAGCCAACCACCCTCACTGGAGGAAAGATAGCCTCTTTAATAAACAGTGCTAGAAAAACTGGATTTCAATCTGCCACAGATTAAAACTAGACCCATATCTTTCACCATGCACTAAACTAAAATCGAAGTGGATCAAAGATCTAAATATTAAAACAGAAACACTAAACTTGCTGGAAGTTAGGTTAGGTAGAACTTTTGAAGACATTGGCATAGGAAAAGACATTATGAACAAAACCTCTGTAGCATGGGAACTAGCACAAAGAATCAACAACTGGGATCTCATCTTATTAAAAAGCTTCTGCACTGCAAGAGAAACCACCTACAGAGCTAAGAGACAACCTATGATGTGGGAAAAAAATTTTTACCAGCTGTTCCTCAGACAAAGGACTACTATCTAGAATATATAAAGAACTGGAAAAAAAAGACCCCCTAAATTTAAAGACCCAATCCAAAAATGGGCATCTGAAATTAACAGACATTTCTCAGACAAAGAAGTAAAAGCAGCACATAAATATATGAAAAATGTTCAACATCACTGGTCATTCCAGAGATGCAGATGAAAACAACACTGAGACTCCACCTCACTCCAGAAAGAATAGCTGCGATCAAGAAATCAACCAATAACAAATGCTGGTGGGGTTATGGGGAGAACGGAACGCTTCTCCACTGCTGGTGGAAGTGCAGACTGGTGCAGCCACTGTGACGATCAATATGGAGATACCTCAAAAAACTAGATTTAGAGGTCCCATTTGACCCAGCTATTCCCCTGCTGGGTATCTTCCCCAAAGAATTAAAAGAATCATACCACAGCAATATATGTGTACCCATGTTCATAGTGGCACAGTTTGTAATAGCTAAAGCTTGGAAACAGCTCTAATGCCTATCGAGACTGGATAAAGAGGATAAGATTTTTTTTAATAAAATGGAGTACTACTCAGCCATAAAGAACGAGAAACTAGAGTCATTTATAGCTAAATGGATGCACATTGAGGCCATACTCTTAAGTGAAATAAATAGGACACATATGTGTAAATACTGAATAGTTTCTCTGGTGTGAGAAACTGAAAGTGTAAATAAGAATCAAAATGTATAATAGATAATGTGAAACAGGAAGAAAAGGTCCAGAGGGGAAGGGGAAGTGGGAGGGATAGGAAAAAGGAAAAAATATGAGAAAAGGAAAAAATGGAAACAAAGTCTTTGTAAATAGGGAGGGGTGGAGGAATTGAAGGGAGGGCAGGGGAATTGGGAAAAAATACAAACCAAGATATATCATGCAAAGGTATGAATTCCCAGTGATGAATGTCATCACATTGTATACCTAAAATGTATCAATAAAATTAACGAAAAAAAAAAAAAAGGAACACGGGTCACACTGGAGGACAGTCCACTCCCCCAGGCTTGTTTTACCTCATCACCTCTTTGAAGTCTCCATCTCCAAAGACAATCACACTGAAGGTTAGGGCTTCAATGTTTGAACTTTGGAGGGACACGATTGGGCCCATAGTGGAGTCATCAGCTGATTGAAAGACATTAGAGAAGATTGTTAAAGCAGCAAACACAGAGAAAGGGAAGTGGTCTGAAGATGCAGCTGAGCTGCTCTTCTGTGTTTCAAGGTCGGGGAGAGAAAAAGGAACTGGCACAGGAGAGTCAAGTGTGGCTAGCACAAGGACCCGAGTTCGATCCCCAGTACCAAAAAAAAAAAAAAAAAAAAAAAAAAGAGTGGCCGGTGAGTTGGCAGAACCCTGGAAATGAATGATTTCCCAGTGGCAGAGGTGCCTCAAGAAAGAAGATGTCGGGTCGAGGATTTAGCTCAGTGGTTCTGTCGCCTGCCTCGCAAGCGCAAGGATCCGAGTTTGATCCTCAGTACCAAAAAAAAAAGAAAAGAAAGAAAGAGGAAGTCACCTACAGTAAAATGGTGCTGGGAGACAAGAAAGATGATGGCTGAGAGGGAAGGTGACCATGGCATTTAGGGATGTGGGCTCTGTCAGAATTTGCATGAGAGCAGTTTGGTGGTTTGATGGAGAAAAAGGCAATCTAGAGTGGACTGCGGATGGGAGAGGATTGTGACACTGAATATCTCCAACTCTTTTGAGGTTTGCCACAAAGGAGAATT